GCCAACATAAGGTAGCAACTCAAGATGTAGCAGTACGCTTTAAACATGCGCACAGGTGCGCATGTTGCGGCTTGTCCAGTGCAAAGCAGATCTACTCATGAGGGAGGGAAGGAATGGCAGTGCCATACCTATGTGTGAAGGCACAAACATCAAGACGCCAGCAGAAGGATTGCAGACTCAGGATGTAGCAGTCCGTGTTAAGCCTGTGCACAGTTGCGCATACAGCTCAGCACAAGATGTACCAGTATGCTCTAAGCTTGGGCGCAGTTCTGCGCAAAGCAGATCTACTCACCAAATCAGGCAAAGATAACATCTTTGGTGCAAACACGGTTTTCTCAAGGTTTCGGATAAACCTAGCAATTCGCAACTGCAACAAGGACACAGGGGTTTGTGAAGACCTACTATTTCGCATGGCCCTTGCAACGTGGTGAAGCTGCGACTTTCTAATTTGCTTCCTTCCCTTCTTCCCTCCTTCCCTCCCTCCCTCCCTCCCTCCCTTCCTCCCTCCTTCCTTCCTTCCTTCCTTCCTTCCTTCCTTCCTTCCTTCCCTCTCCCAGGATAGCTTTTTTTGATCCCGATTTTTCTGGGGGTCCTAAAAATAATTCTATGTTGATCCTAATATTTTTTGGGATGCGTATCCCTGAAACCCTGATGTATAAAGCTCTTCTGCCGCACACTTCCGCGAAATGATCCCTTCCGCAAAGCTTCTGCGGCCTTCCCCCGCTGCATGTTTTGGATCATAATGTCCGTGGCAGTACTTGTGACAGTGTAAATGACCGGAATGTTTATAGAAACATGGAACTCACTTCAGAATACCTTAAGAGTCAGAGTGGCCTTCTTCTCTTCTGCAAGCCGCTGCTTCTCGCGCATGATTGCCTTGGAAAGATCCCTTGGGGTCACTAATCCTGGTTGAAAATATGCTCCTTTGAGTCTCAAAAAATCCATGGTGCATACAGAACTGTGCGTAGAGTCCATGAGCAGCCAGGAAGCATGCTAACTGATCTAAGTGTGACAAAAAAGCCAGGCCAGTTACACAACCCGCGCAGATCTTGAGAGCTGTACCGCAGTGTCTTCTTTAGTCTTGATGGTGGAGTTCTGCTTCGCGCCTTGCCACAAATCCAGAGGAATTCTGGAACCAATTTTATCTGCTGTAGACTGTCGGCAGACTTCCGATTTTTTCATGGCACCCTCACAAAGTCGACCACAATTGGCCACCCATCTAATGTAGCGGCTCCATCACGATGCATAAAAAATATCTATATATACAGTTGTTTATTGCTTATTTGACTCATTCAAGAGTCCTTTTTTTGCAGTCTTATCACGAAAAAATCATCAAGACTGGCTGCAAGAGAGGCATGGCGGAGAGCAAAGACCGAGGAAGCGAGACGAGGTGGAATGAGCCAGGTCGAGTTACAAAATTTTGTGGCATGACATGGGTGGAGTGACTTGGGTGGAATGAGTTGGGCGGAGTGGGTTGGGTGGCGCGGGTTCAATAGAGACTCATCATTGGGTGTAATGGGTTGGATGGAATGACGTCAGTGGAGTGAGTTGGGCATCAAACTTGTATATTGAGTTATATAGGGGGTGGAAAGGGGAAGGGATGGAAAGGGGGCTGGGGTAAAGAGTAATGCGTTTGGCAATT